TTCCTCTCCCAGACATAGCCACAATCTCACAAACACTTTCACAGAGAATGATACAACCCGCCCACATCCCGCCCTCTTATACCTTCGGGAGGAATGGTGGTGCGGCCATTGCTGATTGGTCATATTGTTCAGCACCACCTAATGTAGTTTCAATTCCCAATTAGATATCTGCTTCACTCACCAATCCGGAGAGGGCCTGGGGAGGAGGCCGGAAAATACCGGCGCCAAATCATCAACCGCTTTCTTTCTGATTTGAAAAGCCCGCCAATACGTACAAAACAGGAAGAAGTTTTACAAAGAAGAATGTGTTCATACTTCAGATAATTTACTTTTAGAATACACCTGTATACTTCACTCAATCTCTCTCTGATTCCCCGGCCCAGGTGAATCGTCTATTTCTGATTTTTATTTTTGCCCTGAACCTGAAGAATAAGCCGAAGGATAAAAGGATCCCGCCGAAAATTATTCTGTGCACAGATTCATTTATTTCACATCAGCACCCGGATATATTGATAGAAGTATCACACAAATATTTCTTTCTCGTTGAGCGCATTACTGCTTTAAACAATATTTTACAATCGCACTCCCTATTGCACGAGATCAACAATATTCCTACTTTTGCGATGCCAGACCGGCAGCTGTTCTGCTTTCATCTCGGTGCACTTTGAAGTTTTCCCGACGACAGCAGAAAGCCTCATTTATAGCTTGCTGCAAAACCGGATAGAACCCGCGGGGAGATTTGAAAATAAAACAAAATTCCTCTGCGTGGAAACCGTCGGAAAATACCGGCGCCAAATCATCAACCGCTTACTTTCCGATTTGAAAAGCCCGCCAATATGGACAATACGAGGAAGACGTTTTACACAGAATAGTGCATAAATGCTTACGATTTAATTTCCTTTTAGATTACAAATGGATTCTTCACATAAACTCTCTTTCTCACTCCCTAAGCAACACCGTCTTCCGAAAATTTTGTCAAGTGGCCCTCACTTATTGTGCTAGATCAGACTTCCCTGTTTCTTCGGTTCATTTTGAAAGCCGCTCACCGACAATAGGAATACTGCATTCTGAAAATAAATTCGGATAAATTCACGTCGAGATTTGGAAATTGAAACAAAACAGAAATCACACGATACTTCTATTCGTGGCTCTCAGATACGGGGTCATTCATTTTCGTTGCCACGGGAGAAATTTAGGGCTCATTACCCACCGGGACAAGTTTGAAAAACCCTCCAACATGTACGAAATTGTAAAACTTTTTCCTAAGAGGAATAAATAATTTAATTTTTCTTGTAATATGAAAGTGAATTAAATTCAAAGTGCACCCTGCTATATTTATAAAACCTCACATAACGTTCTTCCAGGTGAGCGTGTTTAAACATTAAACAATAGTTTAAAGTTGCCGTCCCTATTGTCCTTGATCAGACTTCAGCCACAGTTTCACACTTGCTATCGCAATCCGGCAGCTATTCTGGCTTTATCTCAGTTCACTATGAAAGCCTCTCATCGACAGCTGAAAGCCTCATTTACAGCATTCTGCAAAAATCAGACGAAGTCTCAGTGGAGTTTTGAAAATTTAATGAAAAAGGACAAGTAAATTGCAAAATCTATTCGTGGGACACGAACGGTTACTTTTCTTTCCAGGGGGTGAAACTCGTGTTTCATACCCCACGGGGCACTGTAGCTTCTGCCCTGCTCAAGGGTTAAAGAGTAACTGGAAAATATAGAAGTTGCTGAAAAATGACTCCGTGACGATAAGTATGCTCTCTATACATGCAGGGAAAAGAGACTGGGTATGTACGCAACCGAGAATAAAGGGCAGAGGCTAAGGGACCGCACGATAACTTTTAGAACTTTTATTAAAAAGGAACACAAAGCTTAGAGACATTAATTATACAGACCCAGAATCAATTACTAAGTTAAAACTTCATTTCTGAAGAAGGGTCTCGACCCGAAACGTCAGCTTTCCTGCTCCTCTGATGCTGCTTGGCCTGCTGCGTTCATCCAGCTCTGCACCTCGTTGTCTCAGATTCTCCAGCATCGGCAGTTTCTACTATCGACGTTAAAACGGTTCAGCTGTTTCAGTGAAATTGTGGGTGGCTCTTAAAAGAGCCGTTGGGTCTCGGATTTATGTGTGCTTTCAGCACCATGAAAAAGTATCTCACTTGGAACTAGTGTACTTGGTCACCGCCTTTGTACCCTCCGACACGGCGTGCTTGGCCAGCTCCCCGGGCAACAGCAGCCGCACGGCGGTCTGGATCTCCCGGGAGCTGATAGTGCTGCGCTTGTTGTAATGGGCCAGGCGGGAAGCCTCCCCCGCGATGCGCTCGAAAATATCGTTGACGAATGAGTTCATGATGCTCATGGCCTTGGAGGAGATGCCGGTGTCGGGGTGAACCTGCTTCATCACTTTGTAGATGTAGATGGAGTAACTTTCTTTCCTGGATCGTTTCCTTTTCTTGCTGCCTTTCCCTGGCGCCTTCTTGATGATTTTCTTCGCGCCCTTCTTGGAGGTTGGCTGCGATTTCTTCTCATCCGCCATACCGACAGTCACTTTCAGATACAGAACAAAGGAAAGCGGGCTCGGAGCTCGCTTTTTATAGCCTGACGGCGTCAGCAATGCTAATGAAGGATGGGGGAAATCCTTGTTCCTGATTGGGTAGTTCACAAAAATGTCAGACCATGAGATTAGCCTTTCTGTGATTGGTTAGTGTGGGACACAATGTGGATCTGTCAGGATCTGCAACGAAATGTGAAACACAAACCGAAATTTTGGACACGGATCAAACTCCTTGCTCACTCTAAATTTAACTAGTTATTGTCATTTAATGATATTTTGAACACAGTACCTGAGAGTTTTTAATTGCGACAATGTATTTATTCTGCTCACAGCAACCTTTTGTGTGTAACATTAGTTTCTTTCATTACTCTGCGAGTTCTGCATTACACTGTGAGCAGTATTGTGTTGTTAAGAGATTGAGGTTTAATGAGGGATAGTTTGTCGAATATCTGTCAGTCTCTGCTATATGAAAATGGGAGTGCAGTTATCCATCTGACACTGTCTGTTGATGCAGTGTGGATGATTATTACTCTCTCACAATCTGTTCCTGTCATACAGTCATAAAGATGTACAGCACTCTTGGGTCCACCTCATCCATGGCAACCAGATATCCTAAATTAATCTCGTCCCATTCGCCAGCATTTGGCCCACATCACTCTAAGCCCTTCCTATTCATATACCCGTCCAGACGCCTTTTAAATGTTGTAGTTGTACTCTCAGCTAATTCCAATTGCCTGCATTTGGTCTATATCCCTCTAAAACCTTCCCATTCAAATGTTTTTTCATTGCTGCTATTGCCTCAACAACTTTCTCTGGCAGCCTATTCCACATATGCACCACTCCCCCTCAGGTCCTTCTTAAATCCCTCTGTTATTTTTGATAACCTTCCTCACTATCAACAATACCTCCTAATTTTGTATCAAGTCCATGCCAACCCTCAGAGCATCCCACCCGGACCAATCCCCATTATAACCCACCTAACTGACATATCCCTGAACACTACGGGCAAATTCCCAGAGCCAATCCACCTAGAGTGCACATCTATGAACTGTGGGAGGAAACCGGAGCACCCAGAAGAAACCCATGCAGACACGGGGAGAATGTGCAAACTCCACACAGACAATTGCCTGAGGATGGAATCGAACCTGGGTCCCTGGTGCTGTGAGGCAGCAGTGCTAACCAATGAGACACCGAGCCACCCAACAAAGGCCTCAGCATCAACCCCTGTGGCACACCACGAGTCACAGGCTTCCTGTCCGAGAAACAAGCTTCAACCATCACACTCTGCTTCCTAACCATTGAGCCAATTTTGAATCAAATTAGCTCGCTCTCCCTGGATCCCTTCATTACTAGCCTGCCGTGCAGGACCTTGTCAAAGGCCTTACTAAAGTCCATACAGACTACATCCACTGCCCTCCCCTCATCTCTCCACTTGGTTACCTCTTTGAAAAACTCAAAGATTTGTCAGATGTGCCTCCCTGCACACAAATCCATGCTGACTATCCGTAATCAAACCTTGACTAGCCAAATGTTCATTGATCCTGTCACTCAGTATCCTCTCCAATAACTTACCTACCACTGATGTTAGGCTCACTGGCTGGAAGTTCCCTGGATTCTCTTTGCTCCCTTTCTTAAACAATGGAACAACATTAGCCATCCTCCATTCTTCCAGAACTTCACCAGTGGCTAAAAATGAAGCAAAAATCTCTGCAAGGGAAGGGCCTCTGCAATTTCTTCCCTAGCTTCCCACAAAGTCCAAGAATGGACTTGATCAGGCCTCGGGAATTCATCCACCTTAATACGATCTAAGGCTGCAAACACTTCCTCTCTGGTAACATGTATGTGGTCCAAAATATCTCCACTTCCTTCCCTTATTTCCTTAGCATCCATGATTCTCTCCTCAGCGAACACTGAGGAAAAAGATTCATTAAAAATCCTCCCCATTTCCTGTGGCTCCACACATGGACCACCATCCTGATCTTTAAGGGGACCTCTTCCCTCCCCAGCCAACCTTTTACTCTTAATATAGCTATACAGCCTCTGGGGATTATCTTTAACCTTTTCCGCCAGATCCATTTCATGCCATCTTTTTGCTCTTCTGATTTCCCTCTTATGTGTGCTCCTACACTTTTTATAGTTATCTAGGGATTCACTTGAGCCTGAGAGCTTAAACCCAAGGTATGCCTTCTTCCCTTTCCTGACCAGACCCTCAATATGTCAGGTCACCTTCTTCTGTCATTTCTGTTGTCCAAATGTGTGACATTATTAGTCTGTACCTTTCGATCTGTGCTATGTGAATGTGTGGGTGTAGTTCTCAATCTGTGCCTGACAGAAAATGCATGAGTGTTGTTACTCGTACCTACATGTCCATTCTGTTGTATCAATACAAGAGTGCACGCATTAGTCTGTACCTGCCAATTTCTGCTCTGTCAATATGTGAGTTTAGTTTCTGTTAGGCAGATGTGAGAGTGTAGTTATCACCCTGTACCTGTCAGTTTGTCAGACTTGAATATGTGAGTGTTGTTATCCATTGACGCCTGTCAGTTTCTGTAACATGAATGAGCAAGTGCCATTATCAGTCCATACTATTCACCTTCTGCTGTGTGAAGATGTGAGTTCATTCTCAGTTTCTACCAGTCAGTTTCAGCTATGTTAATATGAGAATCTGTACCTATCAGTTTCTGTGAGATGAATTTGTGAGTGCAGTTTTCAATATGTAACAGTGAGGTTCTGCTCTGTGAATACTGGAGTATAATCATATATCTATACCTGTTAGTTTATGCTATGTGAAACTGAGAGTGTAATCATCAACCTGTTCCTGTCAGTTTCTGCTATCTGGGTACCTGAGTATAGATATCATTCTCTTTCAATCAGTTTCTACTCAGTGAATATGTTTCTGAAATTATCAGTCTATCCATGATACTGTTTTGCTATGTGAATGTTTAGTTATCAATTAGTTATCAATTTAGTTATCTGTCAGTTTCAGTTACGAGAGTCTGAGAGTGTAGTTATTACAGTTTTTAATACATACTGATCAGGTACTCAACTACAATAGCAATTATCCCAATACCCCACTAATGGAGCTGCATCAAAACACTGTTCAAGTGAGCCACAACACACTGCAGCACCCAAAGCTGCGTAAAGCCAAGGAAGAACACTGATACAGTGTCTGTAGAAACGACGGTTACCTGAAAAGCGTAGTCCGTCGATACCTACACAACAGATGACAAGTGGATAACACAACACGTCCAGAGACACTAGTCACCCGACCATACATGAAGAACATATCAGAAATGACCACCATATGACCCCGATCCAACAACCACAACTGACAGAACCAACGTTATTTACAACATATCATGCAAAGACGCCAAAAACATTACAAAGGCCAAACTGGTAGGAAACTAGCCATCAGTATTCAGAAACACCAACTAGCTACCAAGAGACATGACCAACTATCACTCATCTCAATACACATGGACAAAGAGGGACAGTAATTTGACTGGGACAACGTAGTCATCGTAGGACAAGCCAACCAAAGACATGCACGAGAATTCCCGGAGGTCTGACATTCAAACTGGAATGCCATTAACAAAACGTAGAGCAGGACCCCATATACCAACCATTAAGAAACAAATCCGGAAGTGATGCCGCCCACCCCAGCAAACTGCAGCACATGGACAGCAAGCAGGGCAGAACAGCAACACATCACCAGAGGTGCACTGAAGGTATTATGTAGTATGGTGACAAAATGTCTGTAAACAAATAACAACAAGCTCAGCGAGCAAGTCAACAACAGCATAGTTATTAATCTGACCCCGACAGTTCCTGCAATGCAAGTGTGACAGCAATTATCAATGTGTACCTGTAAGTTTCTGCCAGTTGAGTGCCACTGTTCTCAATCTCTGTAAGTTTCTGCTTGGTGACCATGTGAGTGCAGTTATCAATAAGGACCTGTCAGATTCTGCTCTGTGAATGAGAGTAGTTATCAAACTGTACCTGTCAGTTTATACCACGTGCAACCAGGAAGGCTGACTCCAGCATCTGCAGTTCTTGCTGTCTCCAAATTATTACCAATCTCTTCCTGTCAATTTCTTCTATATGGATATGTGCATGTACAGAAACCTGTACCTATCAGTACCTTACAATTTGCAAGTAAAGTTATCAATATGTACCTGTGAGAATCTACTTTGTGAATATTTGAGTATAGTTATCAAACTGTAACCGTCAGTATTTTTTAAATCTGTGGATATGTGATTGCAGTTACAAATCTGTACCTGTCACTTTATGCTCTGTGAAATTGGGAGTTGTCATCAATACGTACCTGCCAGTTTCTGCTATGTGGATATGTGAGTGTAGTTATTGTTCAGTTGCTGTCAGTTTGCTATGTGAATGTGAGTGTTGTATACTAACGTGTGCATACCAGTTTCTATGATGTGAATATGTGAATGTCTTTATCAATCTTTACCTGTCAGTTTCTGCAATGTCAATATGTGAGTCTCGTCATCATTTTTTTTTGTCTGCATTTGCAATACAAATGAGTGAGGTTAGGTATCAATCCATACTCGTCACTTTCTACTTGTAAAAGTGGCTTAATTGTCAGCAGCCAGTAATATTATCGGTGGAGGTGTGATTCATTATGTGATAGTTGTTATTAGAGTAATTTTACGTAGATTTCTTTCAGTTCCTGAGTGTATACTTTCAGTCTATCCATCTTCAAAAACGGTGTAAACGTCAATGGGTGATGAATGCTGAAATTTGTTGGAACTGGGTATTTTGAATGGAGAGAAAAGAAAAATAAAGTTTCATTTCCTCCAACTTATCTGTTGGAAATTAAGCTCATTGTGTGGCTAATTCAATCTGCTCTGTGACTGTGGAAAGGGTGTTCTATGCTCTGACAGTGGGAACATACCTGCTGTTTGTCAGAAGGATCTGGTCACACTTGGCTTTGTACTGAAGAAGTGTTACTTTGTCTTGTTCCTTCAAGTGTTTTTCTGTAGGAAGACAGAAGAGATAGCTCCTATAAACCAACATCAGTTGGGTTTGACAATGTTTAACTGTTCAACACAACACTTAGTTAATAATCATTTGGATATTTTATTATCATCCAGGAATTCTAACATAACTATGGGTCTGATTCCAATCTTGCCCTGAGCTGCTTCTTGTCTGATCATTTTTAAGGACTTCAACACCATTTGAGTGAGGTCCCGAAAGTCACCGATACCTGTCCATGACTGCAACTACCTAATACAAAATTGTCTGTGGATATGAGTTTAGTTATTGATCTATTCATGTCAGTTCCTACTTGTTGAACCTGTGAGTGTAGTTTTCAATGTGTCCCTCTAAATCTTTGGTAAATTATTTATGTATTACACAGCGGAGACTAACAGGGACAGAATGATATAGAATGATAGATCAACTTAAATGATACAGCACAGAAAGTGGCCATTTGGCTCATCATGTCCATGCTGACCCGAACACCACCAGATGGCCATCATAATCCCATCTTCCTGCACACATCCCATAGCCCTGCAGCTTACAGAACTTAAGGTGGAAGTCCAGGTATGTTCTTACAAGAGTTTAGAATCTCTGCCTCCAGCACCAACTCAGGCAGCGTATTTGAGATAAGCACCATTTCATAAAAATGGTTTTCCTCCCATCATCTCTCATCATCCTGCCACTTCACTTTAATCTATAACCTATGGTTTTTAAACTCTCTGCCAAGGGAAACAGGTTCCCGCTGTCTACTTTATCTCTCCCCATCCCAACTTCACATGCCTCAATCATGGCACTCTCAGTTTTCACTGTTCAAAGGAATACAGCCCCAACCTCTACAATCACTCCTCATAGCTACAACTCTCCAGCCCTGACAACATTCTAGTAAAACTTCTCTGCACTCTCTCCAGAGCAATAACATCCTTCCTGTAATGTGGTGACCAGAGCGGCACACAATACTTCAGTTCCAGCCTCACCAGTGTCTTAAGCAGTTTCATTGTTATACCCCTACTTTTGTGTTCTATACCTCTGCCAAAGAAGGACAGCATTCTATATACCTTGTTTAACAACCTTATCCACCTGTACTGCTATTTTCATAGTCTGGTACACTTGCACCAAGACCACTCGCGTTATCTACAATCTCCCCACCGCCTCATGTCTTCCTATATATTGTGGTTTCACCTCCTGAAATGCATTACCTCACACTTATCAGAGTTGAACTCCATGTACCACTTATCTGCCCCTTCCACCAAACCATCTGTATCATTTCGGAGCGGATAGCTATCCTCTACACATCCACTACAAGGTCAATTTTTGTGTTGTCTGCAAGTTTCCCAATTGTATTCCCCCATGTTCAAGTCCAAATTGTTACCATATAAAATAAACAGCAGAGGTCCCAATACCGAGCTGTGTGGAACACTACTTGAAACAGCCTTCCATTCACAAGGGCAGCCATCAACCATTACCATCTGATTCCTGTTGCTGAGCCAACTTTGCTTCCAATTTAACACATTGCACTGTATCCCATGAGCTTTTCCATTTCTGATTCATCTGCCGTGTGGTACTTTGTCAAATGTCTTACTAAAATCCATGTAGTTTACATCCATTACACTACCCTCACACATTCACGTGGCATTCACTGACAGGTATTGATTGATAACTAAAATCACATATCCACACTGTGAAAATTGACAGGGACTGATTGATAAATGCAATTGCGTCTTCACACAGCAATTAGTGTCTGTTTCTGCTATATAGATATGTGAGTTTTGTTATTAATCTGTTTATGATAATGTATGAACATGCAATGTGAATATTTGAGTGCAAATTTCAATCTGTATCTGTCTGTTTCTGCTCTGTGAACCTGAGAATGTAGTTATTCATCTGCAAGTATCAGTTTCTGCGATGTGAATAGAAAAATGTAGTTATGAATTTGTAACTCTCGGTTTCCTCCACTTGAATATGTTATCCATTTCTACCTGTCATTCTTGGCTATGTGCACATACGGACATTGTTATCAATCTGTCCCTGTCATTATCTGCAGTGTGAATGTTGAAGTGCATTTATAAACGTTTTCCAGTCAGTTTCTGCGTCGTGAATATGGAAATATAATTATTAATTTCTCCCTGTCAGATTCTGCTCTGTGAATATGAGTGCGTAGTTATTCCATGTTTATGCCATGTGAGGCTTGGGAGTGTTACTGTGAGTCTCTTCCGATCAGTTTCTGCTTTATGAATATGAGAGTGTAGTAATATCGTCAAAGAGTCATACAGCTGGGAAACAGACCTCTGGTCCAACAGTCTACACTGACCACAAGTACCAATTTCAATTTTTCTTTTCAGCATCCGCCTGTTGTACGAGAGAGAGTTTTCTAATGTGCTGCCAATCTGAATTAAAGATGGGTATTGGTCTAAGTCACACTGTCCTTTTCTAAATGTCTGCTGGTGTTTCTAGTTCTGCATGTACAGTCTGATACCCTTTATGAGGTGGGATTAATGTATTATAAATTAGTTT